AAATATCTTTTGCGTGTGTACGGTGGGTTGGTATCTAGAACCTTGCATGAGTTTCCATCTCCACTAAATCGGGCTGCGTTGACTGCAAATGTGCAATGCAAGCTTCATATGCATCTAATGGGTTATGTAGCAAAAACGAGTTTTGAACCACCTTGTCAATCGCATCGATCTGAAAACAGCTATCTGTCTCTGTAGGTAATTTCATTGCCTTGAAGACATTAAACGAGATTTGTTCTTCTCCTAGTCTCAAAATTAATTGCCCGTTCTGAACGTCGATTAAGGCTCTTCCTATTACCAGAAATGGTCTACCCAGTATCAGTGGAATATCTTTGTCCTCTTCCATGTCCAAAATTAGGAAATTTGTAAGGAATATGATTTTTTTCCACTTTGACAAGCACGTCTTCAATTATTCTTCTGGGATGTGTTAATGACCTGTCAGACATCTGCAGCGTTACAGTAGTTGCCTTAGCCTCTCCCAAGCCAAGTTTTCTGAAAACAGATAAAGACATCAAATTTATACTTGCACCAAGATCACACAAAGTTCTATTAAAATAAACTTCACCAATCGTGTAAGAAACAATAAAACTCCCTGGATCTTTCAATTTTGGTGGGAGCTTTTTCTGAATTCTAGCGCTGCATTCCTTTGTTAGCATTACTGTCTCGTGATCCCTAGCTTGCATTTGCTTGATATTATGTCCTTCAAGAACTTTGCGTAGCTAGGCGTCTGGAACAGTACATCGACGAGTGGGATGTTGATATGGAGTTTCTTGAAAACTTCAAGAAATTTCTTGTATTGTTGCTCCAACTTCTGCATCTTTAGCCTTTGTGGAAACGGTAAGGGAGGCTCATGAGGGTTAACGATTGCTATACCCTATGTTTTACCTGGTTTTTCAGCTAGGATGGATTCTTCTATCTGTTCGTCATGCTCTATAGGATCTTTCATCGTTGGAGATTTTGTTTCTTGATTTACACCCGACCTTTTTACATGGATTTCCGACAGTTGCTTTCCACTTCGAGTTGTAATTGCCTTAACATGCTCCTTCGAATTTATTTCTGTGTTACTTGGTAAGCTGTCTAGTGCTCTGCCAGTCAAAGCAACTGCTATCTGTCCCATTTGAGTCTCTAAATTTTTAATTGCTGCATTTTGGTCTTGAAGAGTGACCTCGATTTTTCTCATGAATTGATTGTTTGCTTCCATGTGTTGATTAGTCTTCTCCATGAATTTACCAAACATATCTTCTAATGGAAGCTTTTTCTCTAGCTGCTGATATTGACCATGTCGCTTATTCTGGTTTTGATTGCTCCAAGAGAAGTTGGGGTGCTTTTTCCAACTCGAATTATATGTTTCCCCATATGTATTATTTTTTTGCCGCTGTCCCCATTGAACAAAATCTGTCTGCTCTACTCCTTGTACCAAGATTGGACATTCTGCTGTTCGATGTTCGGCTCCATATTCTTCATTACTAGCCTTATTCGACTATACTGCTATAGCTGATTGTGTCATGTTCTCTACCTTGTGAAAAATGAATCAATTTTTGCTGACAATGCGGAATAAACCTCCACTTCATAAACCCTCGATGTTTTCTTCTGAACTGCTCGATCCGATGTCCATATAGCTAAAGTGGTAGCCATATTTTCGAAAAGTTTCAGTGCTTTATCAATTGTCTTTGTGGACAGTGATCCACTAGAAGATGAATCAACCACGTTTTTGAAGGTTGGGAGTAATCCTGCATAGAAGTATAGGACTTGAAGTCCCTTGTTAATTCCATGACGTGGACACTTTCGCAGCATATTCTTGAACCTATTCCAAGTTTCATCGAAATTCTCCGAGTCGCCTTGACGGAAGACACAAATGTCATGCTTGAACTTTGCAATCTTAGCAGGTGGGAAGAACTTAGTGCAGAATTTCTGGGCTAGATCATTCCATGTAGTGATGCTTGCGATTGGTCGTGAATCTAGCCATTCAATTGCCTTATCGAGCAGTGTATGTGGAAACAATCTTAATCTGATTGTATCGTCTAAGATTCTTTGATATCTAAACTGTTGGCACATCTCCAGAAAATGAGAAACAAGCGTATGTGGATTCTCTTCGGTCCTTCCAGAGAATTGATGGCCGTTTTGAAATAATTGTATCACATTAGTCTTCAGTTGGAAGTTCGACTGTCCAAACGATGGATACACAATACTTGACTGGCTTTGAATTATCTGAGGGGTCATGAAATCTCCTACGAGCATATTTCCTTCATCCGCTACCCCTTTTTCATTGGCCTGAAAAATTAGATTATTCTCCACGTTAGCCATTTGTTGATGTGCCTCTCTGTTCTCTCGCTGCCTTCGATGTAGAGATCGTTCGATTTTTGGATCTGCTGGGACCAATTCTCCTTCAACAAACCTTAACATGCAAATCTGCGAGAAGAGTCAAAATGAGTGCCTAGATGTTAAAATGAAATATTAAGTAGAACAAATCAAAATGAAATAAATCACAACAAAATAACAGAAAATGAAAGTATGAATGTTCGAATTAGTGCCAATATAAATAAAATCAAACGAATACTTAATCACCGGCAAAGGCACCAAAAACTTGTTCACGAAATATTTCTTTCAACTTAAAATTATTGCAAGTGTACTGTTCGTTAACAAGTAATAAAGTGGAATATTAAGTTTCAAGTATCATCCTACAGAGATCGAGTAGTTCAATTTTATCTATCTTAACCTTAACCGAAACAAATTTATCAAAACAGGAATTTATTCTTATAAAAACCTTAATTTAATAAAACCCTATTTATGAAGACCCTAATTCATGCAAACTTGATGATTGAAATGAAATCAATATGCAAAATAATATTTTAACGAATTAAAATACAAATTAAATGTTTAGAAATCAAATTGATTGTATTCAATGAAAATTAAAAGCACTATGATCACGAATTCCCATGCAATGATCACTCTTAACTTTAATTTCACAAAATGACAACACGATTGAATTATTGACGAATCAATGCTCCTAATTCTATTCAACACTCTCTCTCGAGATGTATTGAACCCATTCTTATACACCACTGGCCTATATCTCTACGACAAATGTATATATAAGAATGTATGTGGTTTTATGAACATCTAAATATTCACGCGAAGCATAGGGGTATATCTCTATCTTCTATCGGACCCTACGACGATTTATACCTTGTCAAATTTATTTCTCTCCTCTCGAACAGATGAAATAAACCACCAAACATCACATAATGATGCGCATTTAATTATGGAAGAAAATTATTGTATATAAATCATTCAAACATTCAAATAAGTGTTTATAGTCAAATTGCAAACTAGAAATTAAAGAAATCACATCATATGGTACATCAATCTCCTAATACATGAAAACTTAGCCTATCATGGAAAAAATTACAGAATACATGATAAATTGAAGAAAAAGCATCACCGGGTTATGAATTCGCTTGAAATCTAGATGATCTTTGTGTAAATCCTTGTTATTTTGGCTCAAAATCATCGCCAAGATGTGTTTTCTTACCTCCCAATGCATTCTATCTCGAAATATGACCGCTCTAGATTTTTGTATTGCATCCCAATTAAGTTCTAAAAGAGTTATATCGAAAATAGAAAACTGTAGGATCAGACCTCGAATTATGCTTATACAACCGCATAGGCTAACAATTTTTGCCCCTTTATGTTCGGGAGGCTCCTATGCGATCGCATAGGTATAACCTATGTGACCGTATAGGTGCCTCAATTTTTCGCGAGTTGATTTTAGTCCTTGAACTTCATTTTCCACATTCTTGGTGTAACGCCCTGACCTGCAAGGATCGGAACGTCGCTAGATTAATTATACTTTTAGCCGTAAACTTAGAGGAAATTATAAAGATTTAATTTAAGAATATTTTTTTAAAAAGAACAATAAATGACAACATAACTCAATACAAAAGAAACTAATTCCTAATGTCTTCAGGTGATATCCATGCATAAATACATTTTTGTTACGTGAAATTCTAGGCAAGAATTTAAAAATAAATGTTGTTGTTTGACTTCCCATTTTTGCCCACTAAGTTTTAAAGTAAACTCGTTTACATAGTAATCTAGGTCGTTACTTCACGAAACTTTAAGAGAAAGTAGAAAACTTCTCATAATATAACATACCCAAAATTTAGCTTTTGTCGTCGACATATGAGATGTTAAAATATTTTTCAAAACCTCGTAGCGACTCGATTTGGGAAGTAACCCAGTGCAGCATACTTAAGGCAGGATATAAAATTCCATAGTTATTGGATTGATATGATTTTGAGTTTATTCAGTAGCTAATCCATGAGGCTATTAAATCCCACTGATTTTGTCTAAAAATCCCAAGTAACGATTGAGTTACGAATTTTTAAGTTCAATGGCAGAAACTGAAATTTTCAGAAAACAGCAACATTATGTTTACTTAAAGTAACATATAACATTTTACCGACATCGGATTGACATGATTCTAAGTTTATTCAGTAGCTAACTTATGAGGCTATCAAACACCATTAGCTTTGTTCAAAACTTCAAAGTAACAAATTAGTTATGAATTTTTAAAATCTGAGCAGAAACTGAAATTTCTAAGAAAACAGTAACATTAACTAGTTGACATTTTTTTTTTTGAAGACGGTGTTTCGTAAGTAAATTCTAGATCACACACACACACACATAACCTATTCATAAGAAAATGTTCGTAGAAATAGTTTCATATACGATGTCCATGGAAAAGTAATTAATAGGAAACGCAAATATTTCATAATCAATTTAAAGTTGTTAATTCACCGGCTTTTCCATGTCGAATTGTATCTTCAACCACCATCATCCGCGCCCACAACAAAAGAACAAAATCAACATGTAAGAAGGGATTTAACCCATGAGTTTGAAACTCAATAGATATCATTGGTGCATTTTGTAATCAAATTAGAAAAGTCGAACCATGGATTCATACCATCGCACGTAGATAGATTTTCGACAAAATTCGATATCTATAGCGTTATCATAACACGTAGAGCCGGAGAATGATCATTCAAATTATAGTAGTACTGAAGCACCATACCCGAAGGTACCATTTCATTCAACTTTTAGCAAAAAATCAAATTTGAAAACGAAATAACACTTACACATCAACCTACCTTGAATTTTCTTGGATATCAAAGAACAAATGTGTAGAAAGCCTTTCTTCTTCTCACCCTTGTTATTCCCTTAGCTTAAATTGGCATAAAATATATTTTTTTGAGAGAAAATAAGATGAAATTCGAATTTAAGGAATGATGTAGTGAAAAAGTGACATTCCACTTCTTGTGACCTTTCTTTTTAATGAAAAACTAAATGGGAGGAGTTGTATTATCATAAAGTTTGTTAAATTGGATCTTTAACTAAGAATTTGAAGAGTTTTTAAGCCTAAAAAATCATTAAAAAGTTTTATAAAAACATCTAAATGGTGATTCTAACCTAGGTTGCCTATATGAAATACCATGTAGATGACCATTGGAGTAACTCAGTTATTCGTTAAATTTTTGTAATAAATTTACTTAAACTTAATCTCTTAAATTGTTGGGCTTTTAATTAATTTATGGCTTGGGCTTTCAAAATCTTAAATGGTTTGAGCTTCCACAACTCGTTTCTTGAATGAGACATGCTCGTGGTGTTAGATTATCACAACATAATAGCCTAATTTCATTTTATTTATCGGGTTTCTAGATCCCTCACACCTTAAAAAAAATTTCATCCTCGAAATTTACCTTATGGATTGGGAAAGAGTGTCGGATATTTGTCTTTAACTTCTTCTTCTTCCTCCCAAGTAGCTTCTTCGACTCCATGATTATTCCATTGCACCTTGACCAGCTGAATCTCCTTGCTCCGTAATTTATGTACCCTTCGATCTAGTATTCTAATTGATAATTCCTCATAAGATAAATCTTTACGCACATCTAGGGATTGATAATTGACCACGTGATCAGGATCATGCATATACTTCTTGATCATTGATATGTGAAATACCTTGTGAACTGCTGATAGTTCGGGCGTCAAAGCTATTTGATAAGCCACACTTCCGACCCTATCAAGTATTTCAAAAGGTTCGATATAACGAGGTCGTAGCTTGCCTTTCTTGCCAAACCTAAGTACACCCTTTATTGGTACCACTTTTAAAAAGACTTTATCTCCAACTTGAAACTTCAAGTCCTTTCTTCTAATATCTGCATAGCTCTTTTGTCTGTCTTGCACTGCTTTTATCCTAGTGCGGATCTTATCAATGGCTTCGACCGTCCTTTCAATGATCTCTGGTCCCAAAACTCTCTTTTCTTTTACTTCATCCCAATGAACAGATGATCTACATCTTCTACCACATAGAGCTTCATACGGTACCATTTCAACAGTTGCTTGGAAATTGTTATTATATGCAAATTTCACCAAAAGTAAATACAATTCCCAATTGCCTCCTAGATCCAAAACACAGGCTCTTAACATATCTTCCAAAGTCTGAATGGTTCTTTCAAATTGACCATCGGATTGAGGGTGATATGCCATACTGAAATTCAATTTCGTTCCCATAGCCACTTGCAAGCTCTTCCAAAACTTAGATGTAAATCTCGAATCTCTGCCAGACACAATGAATATGGGGGAACCATACAATCTTATGATCTCTTTAATGTACAACCGTGCCACCTGATCTAAATTGAATGTCATTTCACCGGAAGAAAATGAGCAGACTTCGTTAGACCATCCACTATTACCCATATACCATTGTGCCCTCCTGCTGATCTCGGAAATCCTACCACAAAGTCCATTGCGATATTCTCCAACTTCCATTCTGATATATCCAATGGATTTAACAACTCTGTCGGTCTTTGATGTTCTGCTTTAACTTGTTGACACACCATTTTGTCACAAATAGACCTATGCTTCTTTTCATATTCCTCCACCAAAATGTATCTCGAAGGTCTTGATACATTTTTGTACCACCAGGATGTGCAGTGTATGGAGTGATATGAGCTTCCTCCAATATTTTCTTCCTCAAAACTTCATCCTTAGGTACACAAATCTTTCCTTTAAACATCATAGCCCTATCTGAAGCTATTCTAAAGTCCTTTCTCTAATCAGTACCAATCTCGTTCTTGATCTTTTGCAAGAATGGCTTCTTACCTTGTGCCTCAATGATCCGATCTCTAAGAGTAGGTCGAACCACCAAAGTTGCTAAATAGGTGGTGACTTACTCTGGTGTGGCAACCATTTCGATTCGTAAATTCTCCAAGTCCTTGATCAACTCCAACTGAGTAGTAGGTAATGATGCCAATCATCCCACTGACTTTCTACTTAGCATTTCGGCAATAACATTAGCCTTACCAGGATGGTAATGGATAGTACAATCATAATCATTTACAAGTTCCAACCATTGTCTCTGTCCCATATTCAATTCCTTCTGTATGAAGAAATATTTGAGACTTTTATGATCCGTATAAATGTCGCACTTCCCTCCATATAAGTAATGACGTCATATCGTTAAAGCATGCACTACTGCAGCAAGTTCTAGATCATGCATCGGGTAGTTCAGTTCATGTTGTTTCAATTGCCTTGATGCATAGGTAATCACTTTTTTGTGCTGCATCAGTACACATCCTAAACCTTGTTTGGATGCATCACTATATATAACAAATCCTTCCGAACCTTCGGGTATAGCTAACATGGGTGCTTAAATCAATTATCGTTTTAGCTCCTGAAAGCTCTGCGCACGTATCTATCCATTTAAGCTTTACTCCTTTCCTTGTCAATTGTGTCATTGGTCCAGCTATTTTGGAAAATCCTTCTATGAATCTCCGATAGTACCCGACCAATCCCAGAAAACTTCGAACTTCACCCACGTTAGTTGGCGTATTCCAATTAGTTATTGCTTCCACTTTTACTAGATCCACCTCAATTTTTTGGACAGTAACTATGTGATCGAGGAATCCAACTTGTTCAAGCCAAAATTCACACTTTTTAAATTTGGCATATAACCTTTCCTTACGCAGTGTTTCTAACGCCATTCTAAGATACTCTTCATGTTGATCTTTACTCTTGGAGTATATCAAGATGTCATCAATGAAGACTGATAAATTGATCCAAATACTGATGAAATACACGATTCATTAAATTCATGAACACTGCCGGGGCATTTGTCAACTCAAACGACATAACTGTGAACTCGTAATGTCCATAATGAGTTCGAAAAGCTGTCTTGGGTATATCACTTGCCTTAACCTTCAATTTATGGTATCCAGATCGTAAGTCGATCTTGGAAAATACCTTAGCCCCCTTCAATTGGTCAAATAAATCCTCGATTCTTGGGAGAGGATATTTATTCTTGATGGTCAAACGATTCAACTCCCGATAATCAATACACATCCTCATACTTCTATCTTTCTTCTTTACGAACAATACTGGTGCGCCCCAAGGAGACACACTTGGTCGAATAAAGCCACAATCCAACAATTCTTGTAATTGAAATTTTAACTCCTGAAGTTCCTTTGGAGTCATTCTGTATGGAGCTTTAGATACTGGTGCGGCTTTGGGAACCAGATCTATTGTGAACTCCACCTATCTATCTGGTGGAGTGCTAGGTAGTTCTTCTGGAAACACATCTATAAACTCTCGTACCACTGGTACGTTCTCCATCTTTCTCCTGAGATGATAACTATAAACCCTCAGTACGTTTCTTTTCTCATCATTTTCTCAGCTTGCAAGGCCGATATCAGTTAGAGATGAGGTTTGGTCTTTATTCCGAGGAAAGCGAATTGCTCTTCTCCTGGTTTCTAAAAAGACACTTCCCTCTCTCTACAACGAATGGTTGCATAATTACATCCTAACCAATCCATGCCCAAAATCACATCGAAGTCTTTCATCTCTATCAGATACAAATTAGCTTCTAATATTTTTCCTTCGATTTCAAGATTTACCGACCTAGCTAATTGATCTGTATTTAATGTTCTACCTGAGGGGACGCTAACTTCTAGTGTACTTTCTGACTTCTCACAAGTAATACTAGATTTAGCAATGAAAGACGTTGATACAAAAGAGTGAGCAACCCCCGAATCAAACAGTACACAAGCAGGTGTATTGAATATCAGTAAAATACCTGTTATTACATTTGAGTTTTCCTCTGCATCCTTCTGAGTCAGTGCAAAGACTCGTGCTTTTCCCATTTTGTTCTGATCACTGTTATCATCCTTCTTTTGAGTGAACATAGGACAATGCTTAGCAATATGTCCTGGCTTACCGCACCGAAAATAGGCATTCTTTCCATACAAGCATTCACCACGATGAGGTTTACCACACTTCAGACAAGGCGCAACTGTAGCTACTATGGCCTTGCTAGCACTAGATCTGATATTAGCCTTCTTATTTTGCCATTTTCCCTTTCCTTTGTCTTGACCATTCCACTTCTTCTTTCCAATATGCGCTCTATCTCGCTGGTTGTACAATTGACGGCGTTGCCCCGCATTAGCCTTCTGATACCAAATAGCATGAGCTCGTTCCAACATCTCACGATATGATGTGAAACGATTTGACATAAGGATCATGCTTAGGTCTGGGTTTAACCCTTGCTCGAACCTTCTAGTCTTCTTAATTTTCGTGTCAACTAGGTGTAGAGCATATCTTGAGAGTTGATCAAACTTTCTTTCGTAATCAATAAGGGACATATTACCATGTTTGAGCCGAAGGAATTCACTTTCCTTGAAATCTCTTAGAGATTGAGGAAAATACTTGTCCATTACTTCCTCTTTAAATTGTTCCCATGTTAACGCCAATTGCTACTCCGGGGTTCTAGTCCTAGACATTGAATCCCACCAGTAACTTGCATCACTAATAAACATAAACTCCGCACACTGAAACTTTTGGGCGTCAGTACAGTCTATGAGTCGTAAAATTCGTTCTAGCTTACAAAGTCATTCCTCCACTACTAGTGGACCAAATGCTCCATCGAAGGTAGGGTGCTTATGCCTTCGAAATAACTCAACCACCGAGGCATGAGTCGAGAGAGTAATAGGAGCTAGCAGTGTAGGTGGAGCTGGGTTCTGATTCTGCCTGCCAAGATCTTGAACCGCTTGTAGGAGATCCCTTATCAAATTGTTTTGATTTGCACGAGACATTATAATATCTCACATTAACTTCTTTTTCCAAAACCAGGATTAAAATAGGGGAATATTTTCAGCTCAAACCAGATTTGATTTTTTTTTATTAAAAGTACTCCTTGAAATCAGGATATACAATAGTTCGACAACCTTTACTTCTATAACATTAAGGAAAAGATAACACAAGGAAAATGAATCTAATTTCTAATCCCTATGAATCTTACGAATCTTCGGAAGAGTCTTCTGCCTCAGGCCCAGACTCCAAGTTCATCTCAACCAGTGGCTCATGCTCATGTTCATTCTCTAATTCCAACCCAAAGTCATTCTCATGCTCCCATTCGGGATCTTTCTCTGGGTCCGATTCAAATTGAGGTTCTGGCTCTGGCTCTGGCTCTGGCTCGGGCTCGGGCTGGAGCTTGGGCTCGGGCTCAGGCTCAATTACTATATCCGGTTGAGGTTCTAAGCTCTCACTCCACCTGTCTGGAAGGATCTGACAATATATACCGAATTCAATTGCATTTAGGTGCTCTGAAGGGTTACCTTCTAGCATCTCATCCCTAACCATGACTCCCATGTTTCCCCATTGAGGTGGAAGTGAGTGTATGAGGTTATTTACAGCCTCGATATGCATGATCTCCAGTCCTGCATCTACCGTCGCCATACATTTCTCGTAAATGTTATATATGTGTTCAACAAATGGACGAGATGGGTCAGTCACGTAGTTCTCATAGGATTGAATGATAGACCTACGGTTCAACGCTACTCTACACACGGCCTTTCTAGTTGTCTGATAAATTCTAACCATGTCTGTCACATAAGTGTCCAATTATGTATTATCTCTGTTAGTGATATTAACTTATACATTATGCTTTTGGGGTTTCAATAAAATAGCTAATCATCATTTCTTCATGTATATATAAACAAAATATAACTTACATAACATATTTCATCCTAAATATCCTTAGCATTTTCATAGATTCAAGCTTAAATGATTTATAAATCATGCTTGAAAAATAAAGTGGAACATAATATTTTATTTCATACCTTGGGTTCATCGGATGAGGTTAATTGATGGATGCAAGATGTCATGGAATGCCTTAAATGTTTCACTTTCTCATCTTTTAATTATTATTATTTTTTATAAGAAAAAATACGCTAATTCTACAGAATCAACTAAATTCGTTCTCTGATACCACACTGTAACGCCCCGACCCGCAAGGACTGGAACGTCGTTAGATTAATGGTACTTTTAGCCGTAAACATAAAAAAAATAGCTAAACTTTTAGAGGAAATTATAAAAATTTAAAATAAGAATATTTTTTTTAAAAGAACAATAAATGACAACATAACTCAATACAAAAGAAACTAATTCCTAATGTCTTCACGTGATATCCATGCATAAATACATTTTTGTTACGTGAAATTCTAGGCAAGAATTTAAAAATAAATGTTTTTGTTTGACTTCTCATTTTTGCGCAGTAAACTTTAAAGTAAACTCGTTTACATAGTAATCTAGGTCGAAACTTCACGAAACTTTAAGAGAAAGTAGGGAACTTCTCATAATATAACATATCCAAAATTCAGCTTTGGTCGGCCACATATAAGATGTTAAAATATTTTTCAAAATCTCGCAGCAACTCGATTTGGGAAATAACCCAGCACAGCATACTTAAGGTGGCATATAAAATTTCATAGATATTGGATTGACATGATTTGAAGTTTATTCAGTAGCTAATCCATAAGGCTATTAAATCCCACTGGTTTTGTCCAAAAATCCCAAGTAACGATTGAGTTACGAATTTTTAAGTTCAATGGCACAAACTGGGATTTTCAGGAAACGGCAACATTATGTTTACTTAAAGTGACATAAAATTTTACTGACATCGGATTGACATGATTCTAAGTTTATTCAGTAGCTAACTTATGAGACTATCAAACACCATTAGCTTTGTTCAAAACTTCGAAGTAACAAATTAGTTATGAATTTTTAAAATCTGTGCAGAAACTGAAATTTCTAAGAAAACAGTAATATTAACTAGTTAACATTTTTTTTTTTAAAGACGGTGTTTCGTAAGTAAATTCTAAATCACATATATATATATTTAAACATAACATATTCATAAGAAAATGTTCGTATAAATAGTTTCATATACGATATCCGTAGAAAAGTAATTAATAGGAAACGCGAATATTTCATAATCAATTTAAAGCTGTTAATTCACCGGCTTTTCCATGTCGAATTACATCTTCAACCACCATCATCTGCGCCCGCAACAAAAGAACAAAATCAACCTATAAAAAAGGATTTAACCCATGAGTTTGATACTTAATAGATATCATTGGTGCATTTCGCAATCAAATTAGAAAATTCGAACCATGGATTCATACCGTCGCACGTAGATGAATTTTCGGCAAAATTCGATATCTATAGCATTATCATAATACGTAGAGCCGGAGAATGATCATTCAAACTATAGTAGTGTCGAAGCATCGTACTCGGAGGTACCATTTCATTCAACTTTTAACGAAAGATCAAATTTGAAAACGAAATAACACTTGCACGTCAACCTACCTTGAATTTTCTTGGATATCAAAGAACAAATGTGTAGAAAGTCTTTCTTCTTCTCACCTTTGTTATTCCCTTAACTTAAATTGACATAAAATATATTTTTTTGAGAGAAATAAAGATGAAATTCGGATTTAAAGAAGGATGTGGTGAAAAAGTGACCTTCCACTTCTTGTAACCTTTCTTTTTAATGAAAAACTAAATGGGGGGAATTATATTATCATAAAATTTGTTAAATTGGATCTTTAACTAAGAATTTGAAAAGTTTTTAAGCCTAAAAAAATTCATAAAAAAGTTTTATAAAAACATCTATATCGTGATTCGAACCTAGGTTGCCTCTATGAAATACCAAGTAGATGACCATTGGGGCAACCCAGTTATTCATTCAATTTTTGTAATCAAATTTACTTAAACTTAATCTCTTTAATTGTTGGACTTTTAATTAATTTATAGCTTGGGCTTTTACATTCTTAAATGATTTGAGCTTCCACAACTCGTTTCTTGAATGAGATAAGCTCGTGGTGCTAGACCATCACAACATAATAGCCTAATTTCATTTTATTTCTCGGACTTTTACACTTGGCCTCATTTCTTCCTTCTTTTCATTCCTTCTATCAATGTTAACCTCCAAATGGTACTTGGCTTGATCGAATCTTTAATTGCTCCTTTGGTTCATCTTTTGGATATTTGCATGTTGATCCTTGAACTTCCATTCTAGTTCGTTTTGGTCCTTTTTGCTTCTTTTTCTCGTGAATTCCACCATGTTAATCACTATACCCTAAAATCCAACAATTGAACGAATTTAAGCCACAATTCAAATATTTTGCTCGTGATTTAGTCATGTTTGTATATTAAATAAGTGCACAAAAACGCATTAATCATCTACTTTGATGCTTAAGTTTTTTTGTTCAACGTGGATCGCTGACTTTGGGCTCACAGAGTGGATTCTCGACCGGTGGACTCAACTCACTGTCTCAGTGCACCTAAACCCTAAGGAAGAAATCTGCTTATACTGAATTCTTCTAAAAATTCAGTTTGATCAACTGTTTTCCTTGTTACGTGCAGCTGTCTCCCTCTTGAGCTTTTCATGCACCGCATCGTAGATGAAAAAATTTGATGTTTATGCTTTTTGAGTACTATTGTTAGAGCTCATAACTAATCGACCAGCCATAGACGATTCACATCAAGGCCTCGTGATGTGAGTACGCTAGCTTCTCTGGATGACAACTGCCTAATATTGTATACCAAACACGTGAAGGCTATATTCTATTTGAACTTGTACGGGCCAAGCCTATGCTCATCAGCAAGAACAATGCAGAGCTAGTTTGTCATGCTTATGACTCGGAACAAATGAATCGAATGGTTATGGTTGCTTCTGTATGTATGCATCAATCTTCAATAGAAAGGCCTCAAATGAGCCAGGCATGAGTTCCATTTAATGAGTGTTCACTGAGATGACACAGACGACTCCAAAATTACTTAAAATAAGGATTAGTTTGTTACTTTTCCATGTGATATAGGTTGTACGGATGTTAAAGGCAGCAGATCAAGAAAAAGTTCCAGAAGAGACCTGCACTTAGGAGGAAATATCCTATAAAGTTCATTGAGGAAGAAGATTGTATAGCCTAATCCTCAACATGAGATATAGAATCGAAGCAACTTCCAAAACAAGATCTTAATAATAATGTTTGGAATCTATATACATTATGCTTCTTGCCGATTACCCTTTGAAGATCTGAATTGGAGACTCCAAGAAATTGGGCTTCTAAATCTTAAGGAAGATTCTAGGACTGAGCTCTCTGTTGTGAATATTCAACGGATATGTACAAGAGAGGAGATGAACTACCATAAAATGCATATTTTTTCTTCGTACATCTAGTTATTTATTATAGAAATGTAGTGCTCCCAATATCGGTTGTACATGAAAGTGTTTCAAGACTTGAGTTTCAGAGTAGAATCGACCACCAGAAGTCGAAGGTGGATAAGCTCATACCAATTTTGTAAGTTCTAGGCAACATGTATAATATTATATATAACATCGTTCACAAAAAGAAAGTAAAGTGGAAGAGTACTTAGCACAATCTCGAAGCCCGAGGAGAAAGGGGCAACCTCCTCATAGCTATTGCTTTTGAGTGGTATTGGACCTTGTGCAAGAGTACTGGACACCATCTCGAAGCCTAAGGAGAAAGGGGCAACCTCCCCATAGCTGCTGCTTTTGAGTGGTCTTGGACCAAGGTCGTACCTCTCATCGTGGGGAATTCTTGTGGTTTATCACTCATTTTATGTCAACAAGAATGTGTCAAAACCAATGACAACTGGTTTTTGGGAAGGTGGTGGGGGAAGGAGGGGGACACTGGGTGAGATCTATTAGCTGCAAATTCCCCATACAAATAGAAGCACCTATCAAAAAGATATTCCCCAAATAAAGGGGGAAATAGGGCTATAAGTAGGCCGTTTGCTAGTGCTATAAGGGCTGTTCGACTTTATACGGCTTGGCTCCACTCAATCTCACGAAACACAAGCCCAGCAGGCCCTGCTGAGAGTGGGATCGATATTTTGAGGATTTTATGGATTGGACTGTTTTAACATACTTTGTCCAAAATATTTGTTAGTCATATTTGTTCTTCCTATCTAGTGCTGCCAAGTGTCATCATTATATTCAACAAGAAATTTAGACTATAACATAAACCATTAATACATTATCACTTATGTTGGGGGAAGTGACGAAACAAACATGTTTTTACCATTTATGTTCTTTTGTAAGACCATCAGACCATGATACTCTATACATAACACTCGTGAAACGATGAATTTACATGGTATAATATGGGAAGTAATGACAGCTTTGTAAGGAACACAATGAAACATCACCAGTAGATAGACAAGCAGTTTAGTAGAAAGATCATCTTCGTCTCCTAGATTGCCTCACAGGTGTTGGACTATAACCGCTGCCAGGAAATTCCCATCTGGCAATGGCGCCATCCCAAGAAGAGGTGACCATCATAGGGTAGAAAGGGTGCCAATGGCAGTCTCTTACAGTATCCTCGTGGAAATCGAGTTTTGCAACTTGATCTCCACTCACCTATACAAGAGAAAAAACTGAGTTTAGTCACTAGTAACAATCTGTTAATGTTTTGTATACGAAATTGGAAGGTACTACACAATATTGAATAAGAATAAGAAGTTAAAATCTTGTCCTATTTAGAATCATTAAGCATTGCTTACCAAACACATTGTATATGTATTATGAATAAAAGATGTCAATGAGTTCTTGTATTTGTTGGCCAATTAGCAACCTTTTCATGTTCACAACCAACAGGGAGTGATCTGAATGTAGTGTTTTCCTAAATGGTCAATGCATTCAAACAAACAAATGTAGCAAAAGAGTTCAGGAATCTGCACTAATGCACGTGGAATTGGAAAGACTTCCAAATTTTATGGCTGAAAATCAAGATAGGATCATATACAGTTGGCTTCTAAACTTATATTGATTTGTTGAAGCCTGAAGGACTAGAATTCATTATCAATCAATCCCCATACGCTTTGAATCTCGAGATTGATGCTAACCTTTTTTGTTTGACAAACTATTAAAAATCATTTAAAAAGGGAATCTAACAGTGCAGCAAAAAAAAAAAAGACTTTGTTAACCCATTCGAGTTGTTTGTTGTTGTAACTATTAAAGACAGATGTTCATTTGCCATTTCCTAAATTTTCCCTAACCTTTCAAAAATTGCATGTTTCTTCTAATGCATCTACCATTCAGAAACAAATCATTTCCTGAGGAAAAAGAAAAGGTTTCCCAATACTTGTCAGAAATCCAAGTTGTAGGTGAACTATAAAAGTAACAAAAATTTTAAGATCTCAAGAGAAAATACACGACTTAACACGAGTTAAATAAATGAAGGAATATCAACATAAATTGTTCATGCAATACTCCAACGTACACAAACAATGCAAAGAAAAATAGTAAAATACACATGGTGCTAGACTAAACACACAATAATTTAAATACATACCAGGTCATAAATATAAACACAGGAGTCAGCAGATCCAGTGTATAAATACTTCTGCGCCGTGCTGCAAGTCAATGCACACATTGAAATATGAAGTCAATTCCCTTGTTTGAGCCCCTTTTTTTTGAAAAAATATATTTTTAAACAGTATTTTGACATAATTTCAATCACATTCTTCAATAAAATAATATTACACGAAAATCTAAATTTTTTTCTTATTTTTTAACCACACATTTCACATCATTACACTATTCAAAAATACATTTTCGTGGCAAAAATGGGGCTCAAACAATGGCAATATGTGGAAGCACAGGAACTAGGAAGCTGGAAAAAATATCTAGATAATCAAAATAAGCTTCTAAGGTCAAACTACCATTTATCAGAACGCCAGAGAAGTTTCACGACAGTATTTGAGCAAACAATTGGACATCTACATGCCTGTTGAAATGTATAGACCATTTAAGGGCCCAAACCAGAAAATGAAACCAGACAGTCAAAAAATGGTGGTTTTAGAATTTTAGATTAGGTTTAGGCAATGAAATTAAATCCTCCACAACCACATAAATTCATGTGCGTCCCAATCCATTGCTACATCCACCAAAACATTTAATGAGATCAAATCCCTGTCAACCACATAAAACCATGTTGATGTTGGTCTACACATCCCTCTTCTAGTATGTTCTATTGGGACTGCATCGGTCTATAATCACAAGCCCGAGTAACCCTTCTCTTTAGGGTTTGTGTTGTTATTTATTTCTGTTTTGTTTCTCATTTGAGACAGTTGATGAGATGATGAATTAGAATTGAAATATTGTTTGGCTTGCAGCCATTTTCTCCCTCCCCTCTCTTCCCCTGGTTCTTCTCCCTTCTCTCTGTTTCTCTTCTCCGTTCCTTCTTCTTTTTTTCTTATTCATCCTACATCAAATTGGACAGTTGATGAGATGATGAATTAGAATTGAAATATTGTTTGGCTTGCAGCCATTTTCTCCCTCCCCTCTCTTCCCCTGGTTCTTCTCCCTTCTCTCTGTTTCTCTTCCCCGTTCCTTCTTCTTTCTTTCTTATTCATCCTACATCAAATTGGTATCAGAGCCAAAACTTGGGTAATTTTTCATCCACAATCCAAAACTTTCTTCCTATCCTCTTCCCAAAAACTTGTGAAGCAGCACAAACAAAAAAAATTGTTATGAGGCAACAGTTTTCTTGTTCAATTTTCTTTTTAGTTGATTAGGCAAAAAAAAAAAAAATAATCGTACTGTTCACACCCGGAATTTCAGTTTTTTTTTATAGATTTTTCAGCAGTTTCAAAAAAAAAAAAAAAAAAAAACCGTCACTGTTCACGGGTACTGTTCACACCCGAAATTTCTTTTTTTTTTTTTTTTTTTTTATCATTTT